CGAAACTGAGATCGTATCATGAAAATGTCGTAAGGTGGATCATCTTTTCCCATACGATTACATGTAAAACCAAATAATTCGTTCCACCGCGAAAAACATACTCAAATTAAAGCCAAATAATACATTAAAAAAAATAACTGTAATAAGAAAAACAAATGAAAAATGCAAACTAATGTAACGTCGTATGGTGAGTTTTTGTTCGTATCGTGGAGCAAAAATATGTTCGAATTTCATGTCGTATCCTGAAAATTTCGTATGCTGGGGCGATCGTAACCTGAGGTACCACTGTATATGTACGATGTTCTAATCCAGTGTTCCGCAACTGGTGTGTTATCACAAGGTTTTAGCGATGGAGCTAAAATCCGTCGAGGCGTTTCGATAGAATAGGTCCGAATTTGATCCTACCTTGTGTGATAGTAGTTCCGATCTCGCCCACGTGTTCCACGTCCTTTGTTCGTCGGACAAGATTAATGAGGAGACTGATTCCTTGGAAATACCATATTTTATTTCCCCGCGACTACGGACTATTTACAAAGGCCTAAGTTGAATAACTGTACAAATATGTGTTCGTCGTCGAAGCTGACTCCGAAATTGGCGTAACAAAAGCGAAGGTCGGCGTACGAAAGCGTCTCTCCAGATCGGTGTCTGAGGACCAAGTGAGGTCACAGGGGAAAGGTCAAGCGGTGGCGCCCTCTGCCCTACAAGGTGAAAGGTGTGACGTGAACTTTTACATATTCTATTAATCTCAAGTTTTATTTATATATTTTTATCACAGTTGTTATGTTTATTATGCTTGTATTTCATTCACTGATGAAATAAGATGATGTTAAAGCAATAAACACATATGTCGTTTCAGTACTCACTTATTCTTTTGGAGTTATACATTGGACTCACACAGATCTTGAGCAACTCCAGATGAAAACAAGAACACTTACAAAGCATAAACATCATCATCCTAAATCTGTAATAGAAAGATTAACCCTTTCACATAAAGATGGCGGACGTGGCCTAATTGACATAGTTAACCTTCACTACAAACAATACAGATATTGTAAGAGTTATTCTACTAAAAACAAGAAACATTACAGTTGCATAAAGCAGTAACTTGAGAAGACTCAAATAATATACTATTAAATTTACATTCACAATGTATGGACATGACACAACATATAAATAGCATAGACATCGTTAAGCAATCATGGGAATAGCCTACACGGCTAGCATCTGCATATCAACTGAAATAAGAAGAAAAAGAAGGAAGAACGAGAAACAATCATGGGCTCAAAAGGCACTCCATGGCAGACATCCTTACGACCTGGCCCAGGATTTTGTTAACAAAACTGCATCAAATAGCTGGTTAGCTCGGGGATATCTTTTTGGGGAGACAAAAGGATTCATGATTGCCATACAGGATCAGGTCATAAATACTAAAAACTACAGAAAACACATACTCAAAGATACAACACTCACAANATTTATTTAAAAAGCGAGATGAATAGTTTAACTCCTCCGGAACCATTTTCCATGGACACGTCAAATCCAGAAAATTGGAGTTTATGGAAGCAACGATTTGATATTTATGCAACGGCTATAGATTTACCTGCAAAAAGTATTCTACAGCAGCAAGCCATACTGCTCCATATTATCAGAGAGAAAGGCTTAGAAATATACAATAATTTCCATTTAGAGGAAAATGCCACAAATTTGACAGTGGATGAAATCTTAGCTAAATTCATGGACCATTTCCAGCCATATAAGAACACTATCTATAGTAGATATGTATTTTTCTCGCTTGTACAGAAGTCAGGACAAACTGTAGACGAATTTGTAACAGAGCTTCGTACAAAAGCTCAAGGATGCGATTTTGGCACCCTAACAGAATCTCTTATAAGAGGCAGAATTGTCTTAGGCACACAAGATGATAGTATCAGACAAAAAATGCTGCAAGATCCAACATTAACATTGGCCAAAGCAATAGACATGGCAAGAGCGTCTGAACTATTTAAGCACCAATTATCTAAAATCAGGGCAACAGAAATAACAGTGAACAAGGTGAAAAGTCAGTTTCCAAGACAAAAAGATAAACCGAAAAAAATCGAATACGTGTATGACAAATAAAAATAGCGTCAAGAATAAAAAATGTCACAAATATGGAAACTGTCCAGCTTTTGGCAAATTTTGTTATAAATGCAAAAAGAAAAACCATTTTTCTTCAGCATGTAAGGTGAAGAAAATAAATGAAATTGATAATCCTAATTCCATTGTCATCTCAGATGAGGAAGATTATCTATTGGATAGAATCATTGTGCTGAATGAACTCATGCATGAACACTGGGAAGAAGTCATTGAAATAAATGGGAATCCCACTAAAATCAAATTAGATACTGGAGTAGACACTAATGTTATTTCTTGGACGTATTTGAAGCAGTGGACCAATTCTCCAAAGATAAAACAGACAAAGGTCAAAGCCTATACCTTCACACGAGAGAGAATACCTATCGTCAGTGAATGTCACTGCCAACACAAGTCTGGAAACCATGAAACCACAAGCAAATTCCTTGTCGTCAGGACGTGTGGGCTACCTCTATTGAACAGAGATGCATGCAAAAAACTAAACCTTATTAAAAGGATAAATTCTATTACACCTGAACTTAACCAAGAAAATATTTTTGAATCCTATTCTAGTGTGTTTGAGGGAAGTGGCAAACTCAAACATGAGGTTATAATCAAATTAAATCAAAATGCAATTCCAAAACTTGTTTCTCCTAGAAGGATCCCAGAAGCTTTAAAAAGAGAAGTTAAACAAGAATTAGAGCATCTGGTTAGAAAAGGAATCTTAAAAAAGACAGAAGAAACTTCTAGTTGGCTCCACCCAATGGTCATTATTAAAAAGAAACAAGGAAAATTACGCCTGTGTATGGATTTGCATGAGTTAAATAAATACATTATTAGAGATAATTATCAGATACCATCGCCAACAGAACTGTTATCGAGCATTCCAAAAGATAGATATTATACAGTTATGGATGCTAAATCAGCCTTCTTTCAGCTACTGGTAGAAGAACAATCTCAAAAACTATTAATAATGAATACACATTTCGGAAAATATAAATTTACAAGATTGCCGTTTGGAATCACAACAGCATCAGAGCATTTTCAAAGAGCCATCGACACAACACTTTCAGATATTGAAGGCATTTACACATATAGTGGTACCTCAGGATACGAAATTAATCCGTTCCGAAATTGAGATCGTATCATGAAAATGTCGTAAGGTGGATCATCTTTTCCCATACGATTACATGTAAAACCAAATAATTCGTTCCACCGCGAAAAACATACTCAAATTAAAGCCAAGTAATACATTTAAAAAAATAACTGTAGTAAGAAAAACAAATGAAAAATGCGAACTAATGTAACGTCGTATGGTGAGTTTTTGTTCGTATCGTG